CATCTTACAAATAGTAAGCACTTAATAAATGCTTGCTGAATGAATGAGTGAGATGAATGAATGAGTTGTAAAAAAAAATCTAACTTTACATTTTACAAATAGAAATGAATGAATGAATTAGTTGTAAAAAGGTAATATGTGCAAATACCTTTTCAAAAATTCGGTTTCCCACCACAAGAAAGAGAAATATGACCTAGTGTTTAGAGGTATAAACTAGGAGGTAACCTTGGGTACAGGGGTGATTCATTCGATTCTTAATTTAACACAACAGGGAACAGAAAGAGGGTCGTTGTCATGGAAACATGCTGTGCTACCTTAATTGATCACAGAGACGCAGAACTAGAAAGGAGCTCAGAGACCGTCTAGCCCACACAAAAGAATGATGGAAAGTTGGAAGAGAAGAGGGGATGGCACAGAAGGGTCATGGCAGCCTGATTCCAGGTTAAAGATAACAAAAAGTTCGGCTCTCAGAGCCAGAGGCAGCCAAGAATAGAGTTTTAACTACAAGTATAGCGGAAATTTATCAGTGAGTGAACCCATGGCGGGGATACTAAAGCACACGGTGCGGGGGGCCTGGTCCTGGACCACTTCCTCAATCTTTTAACAACCTGTTTGATTGTTAAACAAGAATCATACAAAAATCACACACAAAGTCCTGACAGTTACTATTTAGTCTTTCATATTTGTATCTCTGGCACTTAGTACAGTGCCTGGCATAAAGTATATGCTTCATAAATGCATTTCCATTCATTTACATAGTTTTGTTGTTGTTCAATCATTTTAATTGCGTTCTGCTCTTTGTGACTCCATTTAGGGTTTTCTCAGCAAAGACACTGAAGTGGTTTGCCATTTCCTTCTCCAGCTCATTTTACTTATGAGGAAACTGAGGCCAACAGAGTTCAATGACTTGCACAGGGTCACATAGCTCGTAAGTGTCTGAGGTCAGATTTGAACTCAGGCGTTCCTGACTCCAGGCCTGGTGCTCTAACTACTGAGCAACCTGGTTGCCCAATTTACATAGTACAGGGGTTCTTAACCATTCTTGTGTCATGAACCCTTTTGGCAAGTATGTTAAAACCTAGTGACCCCTTTTAAGAATGGTGTTTTTAGGGAGCAGCTAGGTGATGCAGTGGATAGAACAGCAGCCCTGGAATCAGGAGAACCTAAGTTCAAATCTGGCCTCAGACACATGATACTCACTAGCTGTGTGACCCTCGGCAAGTCACTTAACCCCATTGCCGAGCCCCCCCCCAAAAATGGTGTTTTTAGATGCATAAAATAAAAAAAGTAAAATTAAAAAATAAACCAATTATATTAAAATGTAGTAATCACAATATTATCTTTTTTGAAAGTTTATGGACCCCTGGTCTAAAAATTATATGATTCTTAGTACCTCTTTCCCTTTTTTCAATCATACTACAAGAATGGAAGAGGACCACACAAGACTAAGAACTATTTTAAATATTTTCCATCCTTCATGACTTGCCATGGCCAAATAATTCATGACTCTTACCTGGTCTTGCCCCTCCATGGCCCACTTATTGGTGATGAGCTCCACCATCCTTGGCTCAGCTGATGCTTGGACAGTAGACCCCATCTATTGCCCAGACCAGGGGAGGGGAGCCTGCGGCCTCGAGGCCACGTAGGTCCTTGACTGCAGCCTTTTGACAGAGTCCAAGTTTTAAAGAACAAATCTTTTTATTAAGGGAATTTGTTCTGTGATGTTTGGATTCAGTCAAAGGGTCGCACTTGAGGACCTAGAGGGCCACAGGTTCCTCACCTCTGGCCCAGACCATACTCAAAGCCTTTGCAGGTTGACGGTACCTGTCAGAGCCCGGATTCAGCTGCCGGATCATTCTTCTCCACGCCATGAATAAACACCAAAGTTGGACTCCTGCATAGCCTGCCGCCATATTAGCATTTAATTTTGAAAATTCCAAAATCCATGTAAAGTACACTTGCATGTCTTCCTAGCCACATCTTTTTCAGTCGAAAAAGATCCTCTCCAGGGAATCCAAAGGGAAAGCTCATTTTCTGACGCCTTACATCTCAGGCAAAAAGACTCAAGCCTGTCACTTTAAAAAAAATCCATGGAAGTCAGGTTAATGACTAATTATGTTCTAATTAATAGTCTCCTCCTCTAATTCACTTTGCTAATTAGGGAGGGGATTCTCAAGTGCAGAGAAGCTTCAAACAAGAGTGTGGAGGTGGCTTAGAACCTGGAAATTGCCTGGAAGGAATATGTTATAATGGAAAAAGCATAGGCCTGAGAGTCAGAAGGGAGCAGGGGAAGGCAACAGGCATTTATGAAGCACCTGCTATGTGTCAAGTACATACTAAGCACTTTACAAATACTATTTCATTTGATCCTCCCAACAGCCCTGGGCTGTTTAGTCATGTCCAACTCTTCGTGACCCCATGGACCATACTGCCCATGAGATTTTGTTGGCAAAGATACTGGATTGGTTTACTATTTTCTTCTCCAGTAGATTAAGGCAAACAGAAGTCAAGTGACCTTGTTTATTTCACAGTTGAAGAAACTGAGGCAGGCAGCAGTTTAAGGACTTGCCCAGGGTCACACAGCCAGTAAGTGTCTGAGGCCAGATTTGAACTCAATTCCTCCTGACTACAGGCCTATAGCACTCTATCCACCTAGCC